CCTGGTTTGAGTTGTGAGCCGCCCTGAGTCCCCCTCGGGGAAAAGGGCGGCATATAAATAAAATAAACATTCAAACATATCTAAAAGCGAAATACCACTCATGCATCATCATGAAATCTCCAGAACTGTAAAGCCTACAAACTTTAAATTTGGCACATATGTTCCTCTTGGCTTCTAGATGCTCGCTAAGAAAGGATTTTTCGAAATGACCCTCGGATCATTAGTATTTCTTAAAGTATTATTAACACACTGTGATGCTAAGGATTTAGACGTTCTACTCCCCCTCCCCACCTGAAAAGAACTCTGTTCCAACTGCCACTTGCATGGGTGTGGCCAGCATGTGACTCATCCGGCCTGCGAGCTGGGAATTTAGTCATTCTACTCCCTCTCCCCTCCTGAAAAACGCTGTAATGCTAAGGAGTTAAACTGAGGGAGAGAAGGGGAGAGGAGAGGCCGATTGAAACTACTCATTTATTTTCAAGTTGTAAGTGTCGATTTATCAAGCCCGATCACATAGTTTCATCGCGGAGCACGGATATTCAGCTAGTACAGAATATCAGAACTTCTGAAATGGAATACTCATTTAATGCTCATGCACGAAAGGAGGGAAAATAATGCCACTTATTTAAAAATTAAGTTGCATTTAATACAAAAACAAATAATGCAATCGGTTTTTTTTATTATTCTTTCTTCGATTTGCTTGCAAAAGATTAAACGAACAGATCTGCAGAAGAGTGGACCATGTTCCAGATAGGTGAATCTTTGTCTCAATCTCCAAACGTATAGAATCACAGAGTCCTAGGGGACCTTGGAGGTCTTCTAGTCCAACCCCCTGCCCAAGGCAGTAGTCCTTATTCCATCCCAAATAGAACGTTGTCCAGTCTTTTCTTAAAAATTGGACTAAACCTCATTTTCAATTGAATGACTTTGGATAATCTTAATGCCACCATGCCTCTCCGACTTTCTCCCAAGGAGCAGTCGGTTGCAAACCTGATTTAATGGCTTAAAAATAATATTAGCCCTCCGCATTGGATTCAGACAAAACGTTTCCCCTTTGCATTTTTGAGTTTTAAAATAATTTTAGCTTTATGCCCCTAGGTCAGCGTGATTAAATCCAACGGCATCCCTCCGATAAGGGAGCTATGGAAAGCACCAGTATCCCGTAACTAAATCCAGATGGAACTTTTCAAATAAAACTTTGCTTTAAAATATATATATATATATCCCCAGGACTTACAGAGGTATTCAAGGTTTTTCTTCCGCCGGCAGCCCCTTATTCTGGATGGTCTTTAATAATTTTCTGCGAGGGACGTCCTGTTTTAGGCGTTGGCTGCGGGGTGTGTGGGAAAAACCAGCTTTTTTCTCTTCTGGAATCATTTAGTAGCCCATGTCAAAAGGAAGATTTGATAGGCAAGTGGTAATGCCGAAGAAAACCCTGGATTTGACTAATACGATAATGGAGAAAGCAAATTCTCACTGCATGATGGCTGCTCCCAGGAGGCCTGTAAAGCTTTTTGCAAAGGGGGAAGAAAAAAACCAAGAACGCATTTAACAAAAGAACAGAAATAACAGCGTCGGAAGGGACCTCGGAGGGCGTCTAGTCCAGCCCCCTGCTCAGGCAGGAAACTTGATGGCGAACCTATGGCACGCAGGACAGAGGTGGCACGCAGAGCCCTCTCTGTGGGCAGGTGCGCCGTCGCCAGCTGATCTTCTGGTTTCTGGCGCAATGGGAAACGGCCTAAAAACAGCCCCAGAACAGGGCGTTTTTGGGGCCGTTTTCAGACTGTTATTTGAGCTGTTTTGGGGCCATTTTCAGTCCATTTTGAGGCCATTTTGGGGCCGTTTTCAGACTGTTTTGAGGCCATTTTGGGGCTCTTTTGAGGCCATTTTGGGGCCGTTTTCAGACTGTTTTGA